GGGTTTGGGTTAGGGTTTGAGATGGGTTTGGATTTAATCCAAGAGTATTTAAGTCAATTAAAATGTCAATTTTATATCAAAGGGTAATAAGGTCAATTTATCATCTTTAGAGTCTTTTTGTTTATTTTTCAAACTTGAAGGATGTCATTATCTAAAAATTGACTAACTTTCAGTCTTTTCCCAAACCTCATCAATGTATTTTATCCTACATTAAATTTATAAAAAGTAAATTCTTGATCTATTATGAATAAATTTGATAATTCATTTATTAATAATGAAATAAAAAATAAAAAAAACTAAAAAGTATCATCCTAAGAGCACCCGGTATGGATAGATTTTTGCCAGCAAATCAGTTATTGCGATACTAAGGGACGGTGTGGTGCTGGCTAATGGTGGGCCAGCATATTTTGCTAGCAAACTGCATCGATAACAACAGCCTGATTGCTAGCCCAAAGTGGGCCCAAAGCTTCCCTATTTGTTTGTTTCCTTTTTGTTAATAAAAAGGCAATAAATTTTGAGCAACAAAAATTAATAAAATAATAAATATTTATCACCATACCATCGGTTTTTGCTAGCAAATTATTGTAACTAGCCACGTCAACACAATTGCTGGCGTGGCTAGCAATCAATATATGCATTGCTAGCCAATATAGCTATTGTTATACCGGCTGCCCTAAGAAGTTAACCAAAGGCCTTATAATCTAGTGGTATCTCACCTATTTTTTTAAATTGGACTCTTAGTTTTAAGGACAAAATGAGTGTGTATTTCTTGTCAAAGAAAAAAAATATATTATATTCTCAAAAAAAGCTTTTTAAGTTTTTTTCTTCTCACTTTCCCCTTACTAGCTGGAATGAAATATTCACTTTACTACTAGTTTTTTTCCTTTTTTAAAAAAGAACTTTTCTACTAGTCATAAATGGGCTGGACATGGAAACTAAAAGACCATTCATTCCATATCATTGGTGAACTTAATAGGTCTTTAAAAAGCCCAAACCAAAGCCCATTAAACCGAATAGTTCATATAACTAAAGGAAAGTGCTCTTTTAGTCGAACATTTCAGCGTGGGCCCAAAACAACCAAGTCATAAGATGCAACAAAGTACTAATGTATATCATAAGTCATAACTCATCTATAATTTAAACAGTAATAATGATTTATTATGTACAGTGATTAATTTTATTGTATAAGAAAACTGCAGTGACGAAGAAATATTTTTTTTCAGTGTCACGCAAGTAGATGTGTGGTGTGGGTTCTTGTCGAATAAAATAAAAATATAATATATATATATATAAACACAATCATTGAGTGCATAACGGCCCCATTTCTATACGGGGCCATAGTCATACCCGTATTCCCTTGACCTTTTGGGTCCGTAAAGTTAAATACTACTAAATTAATACACAACCAACATGAGTGGGGGAATCAGCTGACAATTTGTAATATATATACACTATATAATGATCAACTTTCATGCATTGCTTCTGTGTTTCACATACAATCAGTAATAGAAAAGAATCCGAATAAATAAACATAAAATAGTGTGCTAGCTACAGCGAGTTCCACGCACACGTATGTAAAGAGAGAGAGAGGGAGAGGGAGATAGATCAGTCTTGTGTCTTCTGTTCGTCCTGGGTGGAGCAGCTGGTTGATCATAGAATCAAAACAATGTCGTCAATGCACGCCAAGACAGACTCAGAGGTGACCAGTCTAGCAGCATCTTCCCCAACAAGGTCACCTCGCCGTCCGGTCTACTACGTGCAGAGCCCGTCATGTGATTCCCATGACAGGGACAAAATGAGTATATATTTCTTTTTTTTTTGTTTTTTTCTTCTTTGACTTTCCCTTTTCTCGCTGGAATGAAAGACATTAAAATCATTTAGTAAAAGAAAAAGACATGTTAGAATAAAATTTTATTTATTAGGACTCTGTTCCTTTCACGCATCTAATGAGGAAAAAGAAAAATATGATGTCAGAACAAGTTCTCTCTCTTTTTCCTTATCAAGGAAAATAAGGATGAGAAAGACAACCTACAAGGGAGAGGATAAATTTATAATTTCACAAGTTTTTCATTCTTTTCTACTCTTATTTTCTGATAATTTTAAAAAAAGACTTGAAAGTAAAGGTCCGTTTGGTTAGACGGAAAATTTTGAAGGAAAGTGAAAGTGAAAGAAAGTGAAGTGAAAGAAAGGAAAATCAAGTTTCCATAATACATTTGGTTAACAGGAAAATTTTTGAAGAAAATTGTGAGAAAATCTTATTTTGATAGTTTGAATAGCATGAAAAGGAAAAGAAAATGATTCCACTTACCGAAAATACCCTTATAATTTTAAATAGTATAAAAATAAATAAATTTGTTTTAGAGGAATAGTATTAGTGAAATATGGAATAGAATAGCATGTGATATCATAATACAATTTTTTGCATTCTCGTTTATATAATTGTGTGTATATATATATTTACTTGAATTCTCGATCTTTTATTTTTGAAGGTGAGAAAATAAGCTTGTATTCGTTTTCTATATATATATATATCTAATTTATGTTAATTTTATTTATTTTTTTGTTAAAAATTAAAAGTCATGGATGGATTATGTTAATAAATTTAATTATTTATTCTAAGATAATGTTTGATGTTATATAGGAATTGTTGTTTTTTTTTTTTTTTTTCGATTTCTCTATAGTATAATATTTCTTACAGCATATAATAATAAAACATTTCCTTAAACAAAAAATAAAAATATTACAAAATAATGATGATACACACCACTAGTAGTAGCTTTCCGTTAATACCAAGTCAAAGGCAAATCATAAACCATAATTTTTGACAATGTCTTTAGTAAACTGAGTAAAAAAAAAGGAATTACATGACCAAATCAAAGGTTCCAAAGTGCTTCAAAAGTATTCATTCAAAGAGCTAACTTAGTTCAATCATTAATCAGTAGTAGGGTGACCATTTGGTATCAGTTGTCTAATTAAGAATAAGTATTGCATCTCTGGAGGATAGATTAAAAAGGCTCTCGCTTTGACAGGATCTGCATTCAAGAATTCAAATGAAGTCATTCGGCTACTGAGATCAAGCTCCTCAACATCCATTATAGCCTTTTAAAGTTCCAAATAATTCATGCAAGGCTTGCTCTTCTCATATGCATCAGCTAATCTTGCCATGTTATTTGAAATTGCACTCATGGTTTCAGCAACATTATCCATGGTTCGCGGTTTCTTTGAACGACGTTTAGATGAGCTTGAAGTTCCTTGGTTATCTTTACATCCAGTTGGTTAGCTACCTAAAAATAAATAAATAAATAAAATAAAATAAAATAAAAATTCGGTTAGTAATATTAATAGAAGATGTACGTGCAAATAATTAAGGCATTTTAAGTATGGGCCAAAACAAAAGAAAATACCACTCATCATGTTACCTGCATTACCTTGCTCAGTAGCACAATAATTTCTTCTGCATCACCTAAGTCATCCATGTTAACTTCTTCGTTAAGGTCCACTAATGGTGTATATTCCTCCCCAGTGTCATTCATTGGTTTTGACTTCTTAGCATTTATATCTTTGGCCGAATTAGCCCATTCTCCAATTGCATAATCATTGCCACAAACTATAGCCAATTCATCAAGCATGTCAATTCTCTTACCTCGTAAACCTTTTGCATCGGGATTCGCCTAATTAATGTTTTCAAACAAAAAAAATATATACAAAAGAAAAATATCAATATGAATCCATGTATATCTTTAATAAAAAAAAAACTAAAGAAAAATATCAATACAAATCCATGTATATCTTTCAATGTTTGCTTTTTAAATATTAGTAGCAACTAATTTATCCTTACAATCATGAGAGACACATTTAAGAAACTATTTCATACATAATTGTACTGTAACTATGGTTTGAAATGTGCACAACATAATTTTTTTAATCTTCCAAACAATTACCTACTTTTTGCTTTTATATTCAAGCTCAAGATTTTACACAAGATACGAAATTGTGAAAGTTTTTTTACCAAATTGTTTAAATGCAACTTTCGAGTATCACATTCAGGTAGACTCTTTTTGGTCACTTTAGGAACAAGAAGACAAAGTTTTGCATATGGATGCACCCTTTCATGAAACTATGGAAAGATAAGATTCAATAAGTTCTTGTTGGGTTGTGCTTAGAATAGTGACTTGCTCATAGTATCTTCAAAGTATAAATAGACATATTGCACCTATTTTCTCCTTTTATTTATTCTCATTTAATTAGTGATGACTAAAGTAAATTGTGGCATATATTGCAATAAATAATTAAATTGAAAAACACTACTATGTTCAAAATAACATGCTATACAAATAAACTAAGAAATATATTATCAATTAAAACTTTACTTTAAACATCTACATAACGCAACATATGTGTCCAGACTTTGTCACTGCATTCCACCATTTTCATCACTGGATTCCAAGCAAATCCACTTTTGCTTAACATTTCCTGAATGAATCTATACTTTTTCTTGATAGTCTTTAAACGATTAACACAATGCTCTCGATTTAGTGACAAGTGAAATTTTGAATTTAACACTGAACAAGCTGCAGTATAAGCATGATCTTTAAAACCTTTATCTATCCTATAACTCTCATTAGCTTGATGCACAAGTTCCAAAACAAGACATTGATCCATCTCTTTTGACCATATTACATTCTTTCCCTTTTTCTTGGCATCTCCAATGTGACAATTAGACCCGTCTTGCTCCATTCCTAATATAAAATGCTCATAATAATATATTCAATAAGCAATAAATTTATGTTGGAAGAAAAATGACTAGAAAACTACAATTAATATAATCAATAATTAAAATACTATGATGATAAAATAAAATAAAAACATATTTACATTCTAATAATAAAATTGTCTAACAAGAACCACACAAGTTTTCAACAAAGAAAAAATACACATCAATAAAAATCCTATTACCGTCTACTACTAAAATCATTCCACATTTCATTTATTATTTGTGTTCAAATTCTCTTTCCTTCCCTTCCATCTTCAGCCCTAGTCAATTGATTTTCAACAGGATCATGAATAAGAGCTGATTGAGTGCCAATCTCGTGATCAACATCATTTAAAAGTGGATCATCTGGCATCACTCCTCGAATGTGGTCGTGTATTATACAACAAGCAATTACCAACTTCACTTGATTTTCAAAGCGAAACATTGGTTCATCCACTAGGATACGAAAACGTTTTTTTAACATCCGAAAGGCTCGTTCAATTGCGTTCCGTAAAGAAGAATGCCTATGGTTGAACAATTCCTTTGGCGTTTTAGGTACACGTCCTCGTATTTCGTTTAGGTGATATCGTGTACTTCTGAATGGGGTAATATAATGCTCCAATAGAGGAAAGCCTGCATCTACCAAGTAGTATTTACCTATACAAATTACAACACGTAATTTTAGTAAATTATTATAAATTTAAAAAATGTTTATGAATATTATTAACTTATATATATACGTAGAGGACATGTAAGTTTATGTCCTCTGTGCGTAGCACAATGTAAAATTCTAGAATCGGCTGCTGAACCTTCCTATCCAGCTAACACAAGTGAATTTTAAATCAAATGTGCATGCTGCTAATACATTTTGTGAGGGCTATTGTTTTCTACCACGGAATCTTGCTACATATTCAATGGGAACTTTCGCGGGGAGATGTGTACCATCAATTGCTCCCACATAATCCTATAATAAGGGAATGACTTGTGAGTTAAAAAAACATGTATTCTTAATTAATAAGTTAATTTCTTTTAGTAAGAGAATACCTTAAAATATGGCCACATTCTGTTGTTGTCACGAATCTCTTTAGGCGTCTCTGTTCCAAGAGTAGGTTGTTTTAAAAAGTTGTCTTCCATGCCTGTGATTGCATCTAAGACTGTATTGAAATGTCGAGATATGGTTTCACCAGATCGCTTAGAATAAAATTTTGCACTACGATTCTTAACATTGTGAGATACAATGTGTAAAAACATTGCAAGTTGCTCCTCAATACTACAATGCACAGTGTCTTTCAGCCTCCCGGTTCCTCTAAATATATATACAAATCTTTGAAAGGATTCCACATTCATGCGCAATAAGTTATGACAATGTTCATTGGATCGTGTGACATCACTGACAAATTCACGTTGAGTCAAATAACAATTACGTTGTGGCCTCCTATTAAAGTGTGTTAAATAGTATGCCCCATGCAAATAAGCTACAATGCCAACAAGCATTGTAACAATGAGATTAAGTTCTTCACCGTGTTCATCATTCATATCCATCTGTCAAGTTTAAAAAAATGCAATCATATAAGAACAAATAATTAAAAAAACAAAATTGGCTTACAAGTGATCTGAAATAAGAGATGGCATTTTTGACTTGGTATACACATTTATATTAATATATTACTATGTTCTATATTCATAAATCCATACCTTAAAATGTGTATAAAACAAAATGAATATAAACCTACTTTATAGTAAAATTTAATCTGCATACACTATAATCCCTACAAGTGTATCTTTCCCTGTAAAGAATCAATCTATATATGACAATATTGGAAGCTATATTCTAATTAGATGACATATATGAAAATTTAATTTTACAAAATTTGACATCACTAAAAAAAAATATCTCTTGAGCTGTAGCTGAGATCTGGAAGAATATATTGTATCCTACAATTAAAACATAACAAATTATCAGAAACTAAAAATGGAACCCAAAAATAACAGAAGGAAAATATTACAGTAATTTGAAACAGCAACTTAAACTAAGCATAAAATTCCATAGGATAATACTCATCATATCTTTGGCTCATGTCTTGCATTTTCAAGTTTGGAGTAAACTTCAAGTCATGTTACTATTAAAATGTGGCAAATTTCTCATTTTACCTCAAGAAACCAATCTATGGTGTATATTACTATCTCATGGGGAGTGATAGTGGTTTTTTGGTAGTATGCATTTCTAAGCTTGATTTGCGATTGAACTGTTTGGTTATCTGAGATGAACATAGTTTGTAACACCCCCACATTTTCCACGCATAAGTTGATCAGGCTTATACATGAAAAACGAGGGATATCAAAAACAATTGGCAATATACAAGCATGGAATACAAAGTGATGATAATAAAAAAATTTAGACAGGAAAGGAACACTAAATAATACAACATCCATCCATCCTTTATTTAATACAGTACTCCATTACAACTTGGAAATCCTATGTCAAGGATCCCTAAATATAACCCTGAGAGTTCAACGTCAAAAGTAAATAAAAACTGAAACTGAAGTAATACATAAAACTTCTACCCTGAACTGGATCGTAAGAGTAGATGAGTTCGGATGGTGGTCCCTCACTGCTAACCTCAACCTTGGAACGGGTACTGACCGTATTCTGAAATAATAACAATGGTGGGTCAACCCCACGAGCAAGTCCTCTCTACTATGACCCAAATCAGAGAATTAAATAAATTAATCATTATGAATCGGATGAGTACTATATCTGTATACATCCTAAGGGAACTATCCAATGTATAACATGACCTCAACCAGAATAGACGGTGATCACTTAGACTCACACTAGGTGGTTAAGTGTCGCCTTTCCCTACCCGGGAAATCAGCTATTATACATGGTGCACGGTACTGACAACACAGACTATAACAAACTACACAGTGATAACACCTCTCAAAGTACTGATGAATATACCGAGCATACAAATTAGGCAACACATGCCAATAATATTACCAAATATACTGAGCATGTCAATTAGGCAACACATGCCAATAATATTAAACCACATACCCCGACAGCCACACATCTGTCTATAGCAACGAATGCATAAGGTATAAATGAGTCTAAACTTATTAGCCAGCTCACATGGTTCTATATGGCAACACATCCATATAATATAAATGCGACATAATTAAACAGTCCATTTATTTCCTGAAATGCACACAGCATAATAATCATGGTTTATATATCATTTAACAGTATAAACATCCCATAAGATATCATGGATAATTTATCTGACGAAAACCATGGCATTATTTAGTTTAACAGTAATGTTTGATACCATTTAATAAGATAATAACACTATTTATATTTAACAATGTCGTTAAATAAATCACATTAGTATCCGTACTGTGAACGAGCCAATAAATGCTTAGAAAAGATTAATTGGTCATAAGAATAAGTAACGGGTATTAAAACAATAATTTCGTGGCCCGTTAAACCCGTAAATACCAACACAGTACCTAAAAATCCAAGTTTAAGATTCTGGAAATTACAAAACAGGCCCTAGGGGTATTCTGGTAATTTCCAGCAGCTGTAGAGACCCCACACGCGCCCTCACGCGCCTCCCAGAGCCTCCCCACGCGCAGCCCAACCTTCCCCACTCTCCCACGCGCCTCCACGCGCGTCTGGCATCAGCCACGCGCGCGCACGCGCTCCCACGCGCGCACTAATGCATCCTGATGACGTGGCTCGTCCTAATTCGTTGGCTATATCATCCTACTATGGGCGCGCTACACTGAATCATTTCACCCTCTCATCACTCAATCCTATGCTCATAGATCCGGGTGTACCGCGGTAACATGGACCGCGATGCACCGGATCAATCAGCTTCATCTAAGGCCCAGGATGCGCGCGCACACCCTCTTATGGTGCGCCGCATCACACCGGATCACTCCGGTCATCTCCCCCATTGCCGGCGACCGGAAAACTCGCCGGAGGGTCGCCGGAAAATACAGAAAAATTCCGAAAATTGCCCAAAAATTCTAGAAAAAATTCTAAAGCCTTAAATAACAACTTCCTAAGTTTCAAATAATTACCTAGGCTAATAATAAATTATTTAACCCTTAAATAATTAATATCTCATTATTTTAATAAATTAAATAATTAATTTCTCATTGTCCTAGCATGGTTTCTAACCTCAAAAATAGCCGAATAAATGTAATGAATAATTTATGGACTCAAAGGGGAAAAGTAGATAATAACTTGCCTTTTTGGATTTAAAATAAATCCGCCGGTTGCGCGTAATCGGGTAAATTCCCTACACCGGTCTAGGCTCCTTTCTTTCTCTCTTTTCCTTTCGGTCTTATACAAGAACTCACTTTTATTATTTCCTTCTTCAACTTATGTGAATCCTAAACTAAAGGGCTAACTTCTATATATACATAACTTATATAATTTAAATATTACAAATATCTATTTTTGCATTTAATTAACCACATTCCCAACCATAAGGCTTTAAGGCTAGCAAGCCAAGTCAAGCAAGATGTCCTAAGGTAAATCCTATCCTAAGATTTAATTTCTTCATCATTACATTGATTTAATACTATTATTATTTATTATAAATATTGTTATTATTTTTATTATTAATAAACTATTATAATTATTATTATTATAAATATTATTATTATTAAATACAAATTAAATACTTTAATTAAATAATATTAATTAATCTAAAACCTAACCAATAAAATGTCTAAACTAATCATTAGAATATAAAGAACAAAAAAATCAATATTACATGCACAAATAAATAAAATTAATTAAATAATTTAACATATATAATTAAAAGGTGAATAAATATACACATTAAAGAATTAACCTAACATAAAAATTAATTTAAATAAACTCTTTAAAATTACGGGGTATTACATTCTCCCCCCCTAATAAAGGAATTTCGTCCCCGAAATTCACTACATACCTGTATTAAAAAGCTCTGGATACTTGGCACGGATAATATCTTCCCGTTCCCAAGTAGACTCTGTAGCACTATGATGACTCCACTGTACACGTACTAATGGAATAGTCTTCGTGCGCAGTATCTGATTCCTACGATCGAGAATACAGTAAGGTTGTTCCAAATAGGTTGTATCGGGTTGCAACTCAATTTCACCCACATCAATGTGTTGATATCGATCTTCTTCCCGTAGAGATTTTCGCAGCATAGATACATGAAAAACATTATGTACCCTATGAAGATTATCTGGTAGAGCCAGACGATAAGCTACTGCCCCAATCCGATCTGTAATCATAAAAGGACCCACAAAACGAGGCGATAATTTACCTTTTGACCCAAACCGCATTACTCCCTTCAGGGGAGAAACCTTAAGCAAAACCTGATCTCCAATCTTAAACTCCAAAGCACGAGTTCGACTGTCAGCATAACTTTTCTGTCTGCTTTGAGCTGTACGCATCCGATCCCTAATGATAGCGATCTTTTCTGACGTGTCCTTAATAAATTCAGGACCCAAAAAGCTGTTCTCACCAACTCCAAGCCAACAGACAGGAGACCTACACGGTCTACCATATAAAGCCTCAAATGGTGCCATACCAATAGTTTTCTGATAACTATTGTTATAAGCAAACTCTGACAGCGGCAAATATTCCTCCCAATTGCCCTTAAAATCAAGAATACATGCCCGCAACATGTCTTCTAAAATCTGATTAACTCGTTCAGTCTGTCCATCTGTTTGAGGATGATAAGCAGTGCTAAGATAAAGTTCTGTACCCAAAGCCTGCTGAAAGCTCCTCCAAAATCCTGATACAAACTTCGGATCTCTATCTGATACGATGGATAATGGTACGCCATGAAGTTTCACCATTTCTGCAATATACAGCTTAGCATACTGTTCTGACGTAAAGTTTGAACGAACGGGCAGAAAATGAGCGGACTTGGTCAATCTATCAACAATGACCCAAATAGAGTTGTGATTATGCTGTGAAGTAGGTAATCCCTCTATGAAGTCCATGGAAATACTCTCTCATTTCCACTCTGGTATGGGAAGTGGCTGTAACGATCCTGGCGGTCTCTGATGATCAATCTTAATCATCTGACAAGTGCTACATTTAGAGACAAAGATAGCTATGTCTCTCTTCATGCCGGCCCACCAAAACTGGCGTTTCATGTCCTGATACATCTTGTCTCCCCCTGGATGTACAGAGAACTGAGAAGTGTGTGTCTCTCTCATCACAACATTTCTCAAATTGTCAGCTGAAGGCATAATTAAACGTCCCTTGTACCTCAATCCTCCATCAGTCCCTATAGAATAAAAAGGAACATCTCCGGAGGCTAACTCCGAAACCCGATCAATACACTGTTGATCTGAGAGTTGTGCTTGAATGACCTGATGAATGATAGAAGGAGTTACTACCACACATGCCATAAAAGCGTCTGCTAACTCATCAACAATCTTCAAAGCATCCCACTCTGTTGCAAACAAAGCTGAAAGGCTGACATAGGGTCGGCGGCTGAGTGCGTCTGCTACAACATTCGCTT